AGCAATTTCAATAGGTTTGAGTGCAAAGATGTCATAAGTAATAAATCTCAAAGGTGCACATTAATAAAAAGTGAAAGCCAATTTAATAACAATAATACCTATGATTTGTGTAACACTTTATAAAACAGAGTAGGTATACAGAAGTGCTTTAATTCTTTTGTATGCGGATGATCTGGTTGTATTTCCTCCCTGCAGTACTTTTTTTCAATGGTATATATGAGTATAGCGTATGTATGCAAGTGTATGTATAGTTATTATTAAAAAAATGCAATAATAAAAATAATTAGTAAATGTTTGTTGAATTCTACTTAAAGGTCCAGTGTGTCACATTTAGGAGGATCTATTGGCAGAAATGGAATATAATATTCATATATGTATTCATTAGTGTATAATCACCTGAACAAAGGAATTGCGTTTTTGTTACCTTAGAATGAGCCGTTTATATTTACAGATGGCATGGGTCACCTTCCAATGGATTCCTCCAAGTTGTGTATTTCATGTTCTCATTTGATGTAAAAGCATGGCTTCTCATGGCTTACTTGATGCTGCTTGGTATAAAAAGAGCAGTATACAGAGACTGACAGTCATGAGAATGCTGATTTGTTTGCCAAGATTTATGGTGCTAGTCATATGTTCATTTGGCATAAATATACCCACAAGCCAGGCAGGAATAAGGAACCTCATAATTGGAGCATTAACAGATAGTACCTATTTTGCACACATTATATGTCTGAGATTTGGTGATCCTTGTGCAGGCGTGTATTTTTGGGTGACAAAGTTTTAGATTTTTGTGTTATACACTATTTTTTATTCATGAGGGGGTGTTTTTGATGTTTGAAATTGTACCTTTTTTCGGACATAGGGCCTGACCAATCAGGCCAACGTAGCTTCCAGTACTTCCTCAAAGGACACTGATTGATCCGGTACCACTGTCCGGCCACAAACGTATAGATTGAAGTCTGGCAAGATGGATTCCCCCATGATCTCCTGATCTTGCGAGTCCAGCTGCCTTGCAAGGTTAGCTTTGTATTCCCATCCATAAAACTTGACCTCTCTCCCTTTAGACTTTTTAAAGGTAGATAACAGTGCCATACTACATCAATCTTTATTAAATTTAAGGGAGTTATTAGATATAAAACATTTAAAATCAACCAGGCAGCATTACAGGGAAGTGACACTTTTGGTGTTATCTGATTTCATAGACAAATACATTTGCATGTGGGCATTTTAGCAGCTGCCCAAAGGCCCTCATAGAGGACCGCTGGCACCATGAGTGTAGAGCACATGCCACCAACCGAACGACACCATTACATTGACATCACTGAGGCCTGATGTGGTCATACTGTCAGAAGTCTCAACACAGATAATCATGTTTCAGCTGACAGTGCCCTGGTGGGTACTGGACTGAGGAGGCCCAAATATTGAAGAAAGTTGGTAGAGCAGTGTCAGAGGAATTGCTGGATAATTGGTGAAGACATACAACAGAAGTCCAGATTTTTTTCTAAAATGGTTGAAGGTACACACAGCAGCCAGTGGCCAGTTACAACAGCTGGAAACAAAAAACAGACTCTAGAGACTTAGCAGGTGTAGTAAAAACTAAAATCCTTACCTTGTTGAGAGGCGGGCTTACAGTCAGCAGTGCGAAGGTAGTCAGGACAGGCAAACCAATCGAAATGGCTATAGCAAGTAAGCAGGTCATAACAACAGCTTGAATGGCAAGATAACATGGCAGAGAATGACCACTGGTAGCTATAAATATGCCCTGCACTAATGCGATGATTAGGGGCAGCTGTAGAGACTGATAACTGGGTCAGGTGATAGCAAAACCGCAATTTACCACAAAGTCACTCACATACCATCAAACCCGACCACCTCCCCAAAATTTTATATTGTGGTACAATGTCACACTACTATTGCCTTTGTTATTAGACATAAACATAACCAGTGAATTAAAATAGTCCAATTATAGAGGAGTGAAGTGTGTCAATGACTAAGTGACTTGAATTTGCCTCTTTATGAAAATGAGCAAGTAATTAGAGACGTGACAGCTGAATTGATTTGTTTATGGCTATGAAATAACAATTGGCTTTTGTGGAACTGTGTATCACTTCCTTTCAGAGTTCCTACAGACATGTTAGGGTTTATTCTCACACACAAGACAAAAGCTAAAGGTAAAGCCTAAGAGGTTTTGTGTATTGACCAGTATATCCGCTAACCTTTTACATTTAAAATTCACTGTTACAAATCGACAATATCCTCAAAGCCTGGCTCACTCAGTAATGAACACCTGTGAGCCAAAGCAGAAAAAGGACGCTCTGATAAATGCGAAATAAATTATTTCTACAGATCAGGCTCCTTCATTTCATTAATCATCTTCTTCCCTTCACCATCCACCACTGAGCAAGAGTTGCTGCTGCATACTTCTTCCAAATGAATTTCCTCTCCCTGCCTTAATTTTTACTTCGTTCTTGCTATTTTCTTCCTCTCCTTCTGTCTCTGCCTCCTTGTGTCACTTTACCTTTTTCTCTGAAAGAATGTTTTATGGAGAGCGCCTTAAGAGAGTAGGTTAAGAAACACAACAACTTCCCTCATCACAAGAAGAAATGCTTGGTTTGCTCCAGTGAGGACTGTTGAGAAGTATGAAGGAATAATAGTGGACTAGAGCTTGTTTTTTAAAGGAAAGCAGAAAACTGCTGGGGGGTGGGTTAAAATGGTATTTTGGTACTGCTAGTGGGTACATATTAAAGCTTGTTGGCTGCACTGGAAGAAAGAATCTTATTAGCCAGAGGGAGGAACAGAACGAAAGAGAATGACAGAATGAGAAAGAAAGACGGAGAGCGAGAGAGGCTATTGGCAAACGCTGGTGTTTAACAGGGCTGCCCAGATCCAAACACAGAGTTGGCCAGCGATTGGTCGGTTGTGGTTAGGTCTTGGCAAAGGCTGCAGCGACAGCTGTTTGGAAATGATGGAAGCCCCTGAGAGGGGAGACAGGAAAGAGTGGGACCACGACAACAATCCAGAATTACTGTGAAATTCTGTTGTCCCAGTCCGTTCTCTCAACACAGCTCAGACTGACACAGAATGAGAAATAGGAAGCCGCAACAAATCAACAAAAGGAAGCAAATTAAGATACAAATGGGAGACTTGTGTTGGTACTGCACATTGCTGAAAGTAACATGTAGTAATTGGATGCCTTCAATCTTAAGTTCTCCTCTGAGGCTTGTTTGTGGGCCTGTTTCATTTCACGCCTTCATCTCAGTCTAGTGGGACAGATCATAAAGACATTAAGCGCTGAAGACAAAATGAAATTCAAGCGTGTATGCTATTAATGCCCCTCACAAAAGGAAATATCAACAACTATGCACAAATACAAATAAGCCTATTTACTGGTAATCAAGCCATTTTGTGCAAATATAGCTTGACAGTGTAGAAACACTAATCAATGTGGTAATTACTCGGCAGTTCCTGCTTAATGTGAATCTGGTCACTTAACATGTGGTGTGCTTTACCCAACAGAGATCCAGATGGCAGCTTCACTATTCATAACTGTGTCCCCATTAGATTATTACAGAACTATGTGAATACAAAGGACACAGTCCAAAGGCAAAAAAAACAAAACAAAAAAAACGGAACATAGCTTAAAACACATCCAGGAATAATTTGCCACACCACTCTTATTGCCCAGTTATCAGCTGTAAGAGGAGGTCTGCTACTACTATTTTACTCACTCACGTACCCACATCACTCTGTAAGTAATCCAACAAAGTAAACCCCCCCCCCCATCTCTTCCTCCATTTTGTTATACTGTGTTTTTTCAGATTCTGCCCATCTCTCCCCTGCAGATTGTAACTCTGTGGGGCTGTGCACATCTGGCTGTCAAATCTTACTATGGCATGTAAAAAACAAGCAGAGGTGATAGCAGCAGCACCAGAGATAGTCCAGGATGCCCTGTGGCATGGCACAGTGACCAGCAATTTAAGGGCTTGTTAACCATCTTGAAAATTCCACCCACTAGATAACTGGATTACAACAGGAAGCTGATCATTTTGCACCATGGCTCTCTGGAACATACATGGATAAACTGTAATCATAGCATGCAAAGAAAAGAGGGTGCAACTACAGCTCTGAGACAAAGTTTATCTGGAAATGTATCATCAAGTTCATCTGTCTGTACTCCCCCACAGTACCAACACTATCCTCACTGTCTGCCAGCTTATTTAGCCCCTCAGCTGTGTATTGTTGTGAGTAGCATAGGGTTCGTTTTCTGTGAAATGTCAGACTGTGAGTGAGTCAGCCATGGCAGGTGCGTGGGATTGGCATATACTGTAAATCTCTGGTTAACAGTATAATGAGTTAAAGGGGAGCTCCTCCATATGGAAGGAAATGTGTTGGAGGAAAACATACTCCACACAAACCAGACTGGTTGTTTCACCTGCCTGCATGGCTCAGCCACAGCGGAAACACACACATGCAGACACCCACACAAAAAAACACACACACACATACAAAAGACAATGGATTTCTGTCCTTCTGAGCCAGAACAGATTTGGTTTGCAAGTGACAGAAGGATGCTCACAGGTTCTTTCAGGCTGCCGCTGCAGATGCGAGTTTGTTTCAGTGGTGGGAAACAGCCAAAAGGGGCAGGCAGTAAAAACAAATCCCCACTCATCACCACGAACACAGGTAGAAAGAGCACAGCCGACTCGTAATGGATAATATGGAGATTGCAGTGCTCTGATGAGGCACTCTGCCTTCTATTAAAAGTGCCACGCTTGGAGCATATTTCACTTTCACCCCTCAAATGCTGGAAGGTGATGACTAAAAGAGGCATATTCAGTCATCCTCCCTCCACACCCGCTCCAACACTCACACACACACATGGGTACACGGATACACTCAGACACATCCGAAGTGAGCTGAAGGCTACACTCTCATGTCTCCTGACGTTGTGGATGGGAGGTTGGGATGTATAGAGGGGTAGGTTAATAAAGCATGCTTCATTTGCTGATGAAGTCTTGATGCAGAAGTGGGCAGTCTTGCTTTAAGACATGTGATCTGACTCTCTCTCAGCTCTCTCTCACTCTCTCTCTCTCTCTCTCTCTCTCTCTTTCTCTCTTTCCAGCTGGGCTACATTGTAATAGCCTACACACACACACACGCACGCTCACTCACACACTCTCCCTCTGCCTCTCTGACACAGACTCTCTACTTAGTGCGTTGGAGAGAGGACTGAGGCTCACACTATCAGCGCAGCTTCTCAATGGGGGGACGCAGCCAAGAGCAGACAGAGCAGTCATTCCACTGGAGCCTTCCGCTGCATGCGTGAGAAGGAGACGACAAGTGAGGGGGGTAAATTAGCTCCCTGTCATCACAACAGAGGAGTTCTACTGACGGAGAGGAGTGAAGGGAGGAGAGGACAAGAAATCTGATCGTATACGTGGCTGATACAGCAGTGACATGATCAGCCTCCCATCCCTCAAATCCTGGCCAGTTTGTGACTTAGAGCCCTGGGTGTCTTGCTTTTGGTGACTGACTGTGTTGCCACGGACTTCAAAAGAGAACCACGAAACGCTCCAGATTAGAGAATATTGACGAGAAGAACATCATTTTGTGCAGTGTTCGGCTTATCTGGTACTGGAATTTCAGGCGGGAATCCCTGGCTTCAAAGTATGGATGGATTAAAGACAGAGGAGTGAGTCTGCTGGGAAGGCAGGCAGTGATTCTGACTGAGCACCTTTCCTCCTGAACACACTGCTCAGGTAAGGGTGTGGGACTTTCAGGAATACCTCTGGTGTTTGGGGAAGGGATTTGTGGGGTGGGGTGGGGGGTACTTAGACAACTGTATCGTAGGATACCCACACAATACTGCTTGTTGAAAAATGTTGAGTAAAGGTGAAATGTCTGGCCTCAGTGTATGTAAGTAGTGAAATATGAAAAACAGCGTCTATTAAAAACATCCTGTATACCATAATACTAATAATTTTTAAGCAATATGTTATATAAGTTTTAATCATGTTTAAATGGGGCACATATGTTGCATTTATCTTGTAAAAAAAAACTACAAACACGAGTCAATGTACAGGCTGAAATAAATACTTTAAGTGCATGGTGTTTAATACAATTCTAGTTGAGATGTATTTAGACAGGAGCCTGTATCGTCTCGATCATTCTGAGTGTGTGGCAGTCAGACAGTATGATTCATCACTGAAGTTGCGATAAAAAAGCCCACTTATAATTACCTTAAATCAACGTTGCAGGCAGGTGCATGAGTAGGTTGTGCGCCTGCAGGTGTGTCTGCTGTTCTGTTCCTCGACCGCGTTTACTATCTCATGTTGGACTTTAGGAACAGAGGAGCTGTCCTCTCCCGTTTTATGTGAGACTACAATACTGAGAGTAAACTGTTTTCTTTCTTGCTTGGCAAACAATACATATATATATTTATTAAAGAAAATGAGGCTACAACAGCGACTAAGAGAGTTTGGGTCTGTGTTCCTGAAAGCTGCTCTCTTTTCCTCTGAAGTTCCTTTAAAACGATGCCCATACTTGTTTTCGTTTTATTTAAAGTCGGCCGTGTGTCTTCATCGCTGGTAAAACGCTGCTGGTAAGAGCACATTTTATTTTCGACAAGAATGCATTCCGATAACCGGGAGGAGCTCAGAGTCTATGCAATATGCAGTTAACCATGCAAGCGCAACGCTTCTTTTTGAATATGCACCCAGCTTGGCGAACAGAAATACTGTGTGGTTAAAAAAAGAGAGGAAAACATACCCATGGGAGCAGTTCACATTTCCACAAAACCGCGGATTATGTTGGATTTAGTGCAGGGGTGGGGATTTACAATGTGCTGTTCATAAGTATATGCTTAATTTTCGCTGAATATTAAGCAGCCTGAATGTCACTGAGGGCGCAAAACACATTAACACACACGGCACAATTTAGTAATGTCTAAATGGCTTTAATCTCAAATGCACATCAAAACACAAAGTGGTCTAGTTGGAGCAAGCAGTGGCTATAGTGCCTTTCTGGAAACAATTTACTGGATCAGACCATCATATTCCCCCAGAAAGTCCCCACCTCAGAGAAAAATGCCAAATGCAAAACAAATGCATTCAGCGCCTGCCATACAGCAAGTGCTTTAGGTGAAATATATTCTTCTTCAGAACTAATGATCAGTCCAAGGATTATTTGTTCTTCCAAACAGACATCAACAGTTTCATTGTATTTGGCAGGGAGCCTATAAACACACCAAGCCAGAGTTTTGTTTAGAGGAGGTGGGGTGATGCTTTTAAATTTCCCACTGTGGGGTCCTGAATGGAGAGAAGTGGTAATAACACCTGGAAAGGAGGAGAGACTCATTATTCAGTGAGGGCTAAGGCGTGTCTCCATATGCTGGCCCTCACCAGCCATTAGGCAGTTGCTGAACAAATCTGCAAGAAGGGTGTTCCTGCTTTGTAATGCAGCCTTTTATAAACTTTTAAAGTGTTCAAAGATTCAGTGTTGTTACTGTTTCTGTTAATGGAACTGTAGTTTTCATGAAGAGGTGACATATTTCATTATACAATTATTACAGTCTGACAAGAGATCGCAGCAGGTTATTTTCCTTTTTCTTTATTTCATTCTTTATTTTTGTGTGGTACATGTCCTTTTCACACTGCAGCAGGTTTGGACAAGGCAGATATTGACTAGATTAACTTAGTGTTTTCTCATTTGTTTGAGTCTTTCGTCTGCAGGATTTTTTCCTTGAAACCTTGATCTCTTTTTCTTTTCATTCCTAGCATTATTATTGGAAAGTAACCCATGCACATACCTTTTGAATAAATTATACTTTATATTGGTCTAAATATTTCTAGGTGATATCAGAGTATATCAGACAAACATCACCTATTTGTTTCTTTCAATCGATACATTTAACACAATATGTGTGTTGTGAATATATAGACATGCTATATAATACCCCTTTTTCCTTGTTGTTTCTCCCCCGCTGTGTGTGCTGTCCTGCAGACTCGGCCTTACCATGTCCTGGTTGTTGGCCATGTGGATTAGCCTCGGCTTCCTGCTGTTGTGCCAGGCCTCACTCTACCAGACCATCCAGCAGCACCATGTGGCCCGGCCCGGTCACACCGACATTCTCACCCTGGGTACGTGTATCTCCTTGTCATACTTCAGCTTCACAGCACAGCCTTAACGGTGCGAGACGTTGCCCCCTCGGTGGGACAGGAGTTCTTGGCTTTGCCTGTTTAAAAAGCAACAGCAAGAGACTGCTGCAGTATGTCAGAATGATTTGCCACAGTACTGTACTGTAACATGATGATTCACCATGCTTGCAGTCATACAGGATAAGCAAAGAGGGAGACTACTAATTGTGCTTCTGATTGCAGGTTACGTACTTATATTTAGTCATACTCAGATTTATGTACCCATATACATTTTGTGCTATTTATGGAAGAAATATTTAGACTCTATATATTGTTGCTGCATACTTCGGTTTGAATCTGACTATGGAAGCGCTGTTAGACAAAGAGCATCTTCAGACACTGAGAGTTAGCTGGTGGCAAGATGATTTGTGAGTGCGGTGAGGAATTCTTGACTACTACACCCTGAATCTTCCTGGCAGACTGTTACGAGTAGGACAAGCTGGGGCAAAAATCCCTATTACTCTGCTGGTAGCCAAGGGAGCTTTGATCACTGTGGCTTAGATGGAAATGACAATTATGTTTCCCTCTTTTGCACTGGAAACATTTGGCAATTAAGCCCGACGCCTTCTTCACCGTAGGGGCAAAAGGGGAGGGTAGACGCAGAGGCGGATCTAATTCTCTGATTATGGGAAAGCTTACCAGCATTTCTTATGGTGTATGTGGGAGTGTTACAGGGAAGGCAAAGGTTTTCTAGAGCAAAGCAAAGGCTTTCTTTAAGCTTCTAACAATGAGTGTGACTCCCATGCTGAACCCTCGTACAGAGTGTGGCTCTCTCCAGAAGCCAAGCGGCTGTTAAACATTGATGCTATCTTCTGCTTGGTTCCCTTTGTGTGCGTGTGTGTTGCATTGCCAGGCAAAAAGGCAGTAATTGAAGCACAGCAAGAGGACAAAAAAAAATAGAAAATCCAGCATCGAATTCTCCATGCTTGTGTTGAACATTGGTGACTTTAAGCAGCATGTCGGAGAATTGGCTTACTTTTACTATGGAACAGCTGACACATGAAAATCCCAGCTATGATAGATGGAAAGTTCTCAAAGTATCCCGGTCCCGTTAATTGGAACAAGAGGGTGAGGGATGAGCGACAGAGAGCTCTGAATGAATTTTTAAAGGCTGGCTTCTAGTTTTTCTGTTTTTTTCTTTTCTTTTTGACTGGTTGGCAAGTCGAGCTTGGTGCCAAAGATGTACAAGGAAGTGCAAGGCTCAGTAAGTGTCTCTTGAATAATGCAGTGGTCCCAAAGGGGGAGAAGGGGGAAAAAATAAGAACCCCCCACCCTCAAACCACCACCCCTGGTATAATTTAGAAGAGTCATCCAGGCAAAGGATAGTTATAACTGAGTGATCTTTAAGGCTTCCTGTCAGACCGATCAACTCACACAGTTACTGCATACAACACCGAGGACACTACGGACATGTACATGCTCACACATTTACACACCATTTTCTCACTGAGGCCATTATGGTGTGGCATTTTCATGGTTCCTCTGGGGATACTGGAGGTGTGTTCAGGACACATGAAGTCTGAGAGGATGCAAACTTACACACTGCAGAGGTGGATGATAAACACACACAAACACTGTTGGTTTGATATTTTTAAGTCTCAGGTTTCATTAACGTTATTAGACTGATTTAGGCTAAATAATGTCATGAACTGGTAATCAAAAGAGAGACATTTTACAGTATACACCAGCATTCACACTTAGTCCTGTTACAGTATTATTTTGACACAAGTACTCTCCAGAAAACTTTTGAAATTAAATAGAACTGTGATGGATGACAGCCATAATTGGTGCTGACAATCATAATCTGAGGGTGTGTTATGATATTTTACTAGTATAATCAGCAGGCTTCCCAGGGATAATGGTCTATCACAACTGGGTGCTCGAAGAGAACACGTCTCTGTCTGTTTTTTTTTCCTTCTGCTCGGCAACTGTACAATTTACTGTACATCGTGTTTTTCTAAGAGGATTAAGCTGACATCAATCTTACTCGGCTGTGGAGTGGCGTTAACCGATCTAACCAGAACTGCTCTCTCAGAATTGAAATGCTATGATGAATATTTGAATTAGAATTGATTTTATAATTTGAGAAGCTCTCTGGTTTCATTGAGGCCAGAACCCTCAGATATAAATAGATATGGCTATGTAGGACGTAGCACAAAAGAGATGTCTTGCCTTGAAAAATCCATTGGCTTTAATGCTATGCTGTTTTCCGTAATCAAATAATGTCCCTGTGTTTCTACAGGATGATGAAAAGATGTGTGCTGTACAGAAAATCAAGTTGTAAAATTGTTTAATTAATGAAGCACGAGAAGTAAAGGATTCAAATATCTATGCTGATAAACAGATTAATAGAAATTGTTTTTAATCTTAGACTCACACATGCCATCCATTTGCTGAGATTATTGATTCATTATCTTTAAAATTGCTTGATGACAAGATAAGTGAAGCTGTTGTCCTGTACCTTGCAATGTGACATGCTTTAACTACTGTATCGCCTTCTGGACAGTCAGAAGCCAAGTCTTGAAGTGAAATAGGGGGTTGGTTTATTGTAAGAAACCATGTCCTAAAATAAATTTCTGTGGGTCTTGGCATGCAGCCTGGCTGACTGCCTGAGAGACTGAGTGGTACAAAAACTCACAAACCACCCCACATAGACAAAGATACCCAGACAAAGGGGCTGTGTGGGTATCTGAGGAGGGAAAGTGAAGGTCATGTTGAGCTAGGTACGGATGTAATCCTCCAGCCTGTTGAAGCATCTAACAATGTTTGAGAAATCAACTTATCTGCCGTTTGCAACAGTGAACATGAGAGTGAATACTGAAAAAAATGTGCTGAGATAAAGTTTTGAGATCCATTTATTTATTTATTCCGAATGTTTCTGTGACAAATCGGTATAGTCACCGCTGAGGCGGAGATTGAGTAACGAGTTGCCTGACTGCTTCGTCACCTGCTCAGGAAGCGGCGCCGCTCCCTTTCCCATGAGCCTCTGCTCCACACAGCCTCCCCTGCGTCCTGCTAGTGCGGCTGAAGATTGATGGCGGACTGATTCTGGACAGCCAATTCTGGTCTCTCAAGAAATAATCCACTACATTGACAGATGAGCTGAATGTGACATGACACACACAAGCACTCTCCCCACCTGCCAACACAGTGAGCACGAGTGCTCACTGCCAAGACTGCTGCTGCACAAAATCAGGCCACTCTTGACAGCACATAGTATTGGACTCCATCACAAGTCACTAAAAGAGTAACCAATTGCTGGCAGAAGTTACTGTAGATTAGGTGTCTTCTAAAGATAAAATGAAAGTGCCTACTGATGTGTTTAGTGTATTGTGATTATATTACAGTTACCCTTGTTCAGCTGAAGTATGCATACGTCATGTTCATGTAATGTATCAATACCCAGAGGGGCAGTCTGAATATAACAACACTTTAGCAGCTGCTTTGTTTTATTATGGCTCTGACAGGGCAGTTTAAGAAAGTCTCAGATCTAATAGATGTGATTCTTGTTCCAGGTGGAGCTGTGAAACTAACTCCACTAGCCTGTTCCTCTTAGATTGCAGTCTGTTGCTGATGTTTTGTTTGACCACTTTTTTGTCAGCCATGGCACTACAGTATATATTGCACTGTTACAGGACTGTACTGATATTATTAAATGCCTTATTATGTAAGTTACCTGCTGTTCATTTGAAAGAGTGTCATAATCAAAAGCTGAAATTAAATGTGATTATACTGTGAGTGGCAGCCATAGGCATACTGGTTTTGTACATACACGGAAGATTTTATACATGACAGCACAAAATGGGTTATGATACAGCTGGAAAGGCTGAAAACTTATGCTGCTTTTGTGTTTTCATCCATTGATTTGAAATGTCTTGTAAAGTCTAATCACAAATGATTGGAAGGCCTTTTAATGAGCTCATTGTTCAATGTGCCATAATGCTCCTTCAGTGTAGAAAACTCTTTGAGGTGGAAGGAACGTGCAATTACTTTGATAAGCCAAGATGCATCATATGGTCAAATAAGAGTAACAATTTGATCATAAGGAAGGATGTGTTTTGTAAATTAAGAAATGCATCTTCTACTTTAAAAGCGCAACCTGTCAAAATACTGTACTGCTCGACTTTAGCTTTTTGTATCTATTGAAGCTCCAGTTTTTTAACTTGAGATCTAAAGATGGGGATTTTTTCTGGGGAAAGGAAAATCTGACAAGATACAGGTTGTCGAAAAAAACCTTGAACTTCATTTAGGATAGCTGTCTTTTCGTAAATGAGGACGGGGTAGAAGTCTGGAAGCTATACATGCACACAGTATGAATTGATTTTTTCCCCCTTCTTTTTTTATTCCTTTCTACTGCAGAACGGATGGCTGCTTTAGAAGATTGATGATTTTTCTGGCAGTGTTTGGGAATGTTAAGAAATTAGCTTCACTGGCTCACAAACTGAATGCACACCATTTTCAGCTCGGAACTCATTTTCATAGTTCTCAGACTCCTCATCGCAATAGCTCAGTGTTAGCGCCGGAAACAGAGACGTGAACGTGTACCTTTTTTTTTTACGCATTCATCTTCAAAGTGGTAATCTTGCTGCTTTGCTTTTTCTGTGGAGGTGTTTTTTATGAACAGAAGATCCATCCATACTATCCACAGGAGCAGCTTACCATATAGACTCTCTGTGTTTTTGTTTTGCCATTAAATCTGCTTTATTTACATCCTCATTAAACTGTGGGGACTAATTAGAGTGAGAATTGATGGTGAAAGAAAATTCAATTAAATTACAGTCACTTGAATGGATGATGCCTGAGTCATATAAGTGGATGAAAAGGAATCGTTTGATCTGCCTAGCAGCATTGGCTCATGTGGAAATACAGCCACATACAGTATAAACCACATACACATTTATGTACACACGTACACACACACACACACACACACAAACGAACAC